ATGATAATAACAATTATAATGGTAATAATAGTCATAAGAATAATAGTAATAATCTTATTGGTAGCAGTAGTAGTAATAGTAGTAGTAGTAGTAGCAGCAGTAGTAGTAGTAGTAGTAGTGGCAGCTCACGCTTTCTTTACATGTCTAATTCAGGCAGTCAAGCGGCGTTGGCCGGCGTGACCTCGTTCAAGGTGCCGACAAGACTCTGCGCAAAATCCTGCTCAGTGATCTCCTCATTGCAAGCAGAGATTCGGCACATCACGCAGCTCTCTTCACAGCTAAGTGTGTTCAAGGTAGGCAGAGAAGACTGGTGCGCAAACCAACGTCGGCAACCTTGCATGGCTGCTGCTCACTGAAAACCCTGCTCAGGACAGCTCGAGGGGGCCGGTGGTCGGCACCAACTGGAAGAGCACGCAATCCAGAGTCTGTCTAAGCCCTGCAATGCGCCTCGGACATAGGAAGGAGGACCACAACTTCTTGCCATTCTTCGTTGGGGCGTTGCATTTGTAGCAAGTGCTCGCAACATTTTTTGTCGCTCCCCTGGTCATGGATGCTGGCCCTTGTCTTTCCATTGAGCAAGCAGATCCTGCACAGTTTAGCAAATGGCCAAATCTTCGGCAAGACCAGCAGCTGTACAGTATCTCCGCTTCCAAAAGCGGTGATCACACAGCACAGTTTGGCAAATAGCGAGGGCTTCAGCAAGACCAGCAGCTGTACAATATCTCCACTTCCAAAAGCGGTGATCGCACAGCACGGTTCGGCAAACGATGAAATCTTTAACAAGACCAGCAGCTGTACAGCATCTCATTCAAAAGCAGCAATCACTCAGCGGCAGCTGTTCTCCCCGGTCAGGATGCTGTAGCTGCAGCAAATGAGAAGGAAGGTGCCACCGACCGATCTGGCGCACTCAAATGCACCAAAAATGGTAGGACCAAAGACGCACTGTGGATCTCCCCATGCCTTGGCCCAAGCTGCAAACACGGCTCCGACGGAGATGCCGAAGTAGCAGCCAGAATGGCTGTCGTCGATGGCGCCGCCACAGCTGAGCCACAACGACACGCCAACACCCGACCAAAGCCACTGCGCAGTGGCGCCTGCGCCCAAAGACGCCCATACCGAGACGGATACGCCCGGCGCCCTTGCGCCCTGGATGAGGGATTTGATGCTGGGCAGGCTCACACCACCGGACACACCAAAGTTGATGGCGGCATGCGTGCTAATTGAACGACCATAGCCGGCGGATTCCAGGAACACCCATTGTCCAAAGCACTCAAGGAGTTTTTTGACAAAATCCACAACAGCGCTGACCACCTCGACAACCTTCTCGAGGCCACGGCGGAGGCGGCACCAGAAGTTGCAGTTCTTCTTCTCGCCGACTTCCACGATAAAGAACTTCTCATCGCCCCAGCTCGTCTGGACGTCCCAGTACTCCATCTGGCCATTGGTGGTGCCGAGATCGCTCTTCCAGTTCCGCATGTTCACGAACTTCTTGAAGTGGGAGTTGTACAGGGCCACGTGGCCCTTTCCCATGTCCACGATCCTGAACCGCTCCCATGTCATTCCATCATGCAAGTGGCCTATGTCCATTTTGTCGCTATCGTCCAGCTTGTCGTTGTTCATGCGAAGGAAGCGGCGGTTCTCTGCGTTGTAGAAGGCCACCTCGCCATGCCCGGCCATAACTGGCTGAAACCGCTCGTAACCCCAGTTCGGGAATGGATCTCTCCAACCGTGGCCTCCCTTCTCGACTTTTCCCTTCCTGAGGCGAACGTAGTGCTGGTTCTTGTGATTCCAAATGGCCACCGTTCTGCCCACGAACCAGTAGGCTGCTGGTGAAGCAACCTCGGTTGATGCCTTCTGAATGTAGAACTTCTCGAAGTCCCAACTTGAGGGGATGTCCCATGCACCTTTCCGCCAGCCGCTCGCTACGAGAGCGTCTCCATGGTCCATCTTCACGAATCTGTTCCACTTCACGCTGAACAGTGCCCAGTGACCGTTGCCCATGTCCTTCATCTTGAAGCGCTCCCAATCCCAGTTTGCAGGAATCTTGTCCTTGTTGCACTCATGGCTCCGATCCATCCTGAAGTGGTCGTTCATGCGCAGAAAGCGGTTGTGGAAAGTGTTGTGGAATGCAAAAACACCACCCCCAAGATCGACGCAGGTGAAGCGTTCCCAGGTCCAGCCAAGCGGAACGTCTTCAACCCATCCCCTGGGTCCGCGCTCGACCCTGGAATTGGACATACGGACGTAATGTTGGTGCCTATGGTTCCAGAACACGATCGTATTCCTTGTGCACCAATGAGAAGAAGCGAAACCATCTGTGGTGTTCACGCCCTCTGACAGGAGTGACACATTCTCAGACGAAGGGCCCAAGTCCTCCGTGCGGTGATAAGGCTCAAATGGCTCAACCTCAACGTCGTCCTCACTGTCATCCACATCATCCTCAAGGTCGTGGTCATCCTCATCGTTGTCTGCATCTGTGCTGAGTGCGAGCTGGGAAGGCTGGGAAGCCTGCATCCTCCGCTCTTTCTCCTTGTTCAGCGCAAACTTGACAAGCTCCACGTGATCCACCAACCGGATTGCTTTCTCTGACTTGCTGTCTGCCATCTTTTGCATGAACGGAATGATCAAGCCAATGACGGCCTCGCGTCCTCGCTTGCCATAGTTCACCACGGACTCACGTGAGCTAGGCAGCACGGCAAGGTGGTTGAAAAAGGTGACCTTCTCAAAGAAGTGCTCGGAAACAAAGCGTTGCAGCCGCTGCTCAAACTTCACGCGCTGACGAATCTCCAGATTGAGATGTCCAACAGCAGAAGTCCTCTCTTCCCCAATAACCAGGGCAACTTTGTTATAGAGACCTAAAAGGAAGTCCAAAAAGGTTAAAGTTCTTCTATTGGTTAAGTAAGAGTCTGAAACAGAGCGACACTCTGCTTGTGCCAGGCGAGGAAGACATCGTACATGTTGGACGGATCACAGGGAAGTTTTTTACAGATCGGGTGCCACAGCTTCTCCAACTGCATGGCCGTCGTTTGCATGGACGAGTTCATAAGATGTGCATCCAGGATGCGATGTGTGTGGGCCGAGGCATGGCGCATTGCCGATGACATCGCCAGAGTCTCCGCGTGCTGCGAACCCTCTGCCGCCTTTGCTTCAGTTTGCACGAATGAAGGACTCACGAGCGAGTGTGGATCAGCTTCGTGAACTCCATCACAGCGATACAGCTCTGGAATGCTCTCGTCCGCAGCCACATTTGGCTCCTTCTCGCCGATCAATGCCGTCTTGAGTAAAGGCCATGTAACATCCCCGAAGCGGGCTACCTGCTCCATGAGAGATGCGAAAGCATCCATGGAGAGCTCTTGAGGGATAACCTTTTGAATGATGCAAGTTGCGATTGTGATGCATGTTGGGATAACATGCTCAGTCTTGAAGGGACAGTACTTCAGTCCATCTCCCGGAGCCATGCGCTCGTGGAGAACAAGGAGGAAGCCGTGGACCTTGTCATACAACATCTCGAGGTCGGCTGTAACGTTTCCCGCTACGTATGGGACCTCTCTGCTCCGTGGCAGGTCAATGTTGTGCAACATGGTGGAGAAGTTGGTCAAGTTGAGCATCACAATGGGCATCGCCGACATAAGCTCATGTGTGGGGCCAGGCTCCTCGCTCTGCTCCTGCAATTCATGTTCCTTCTCCTGCTCCCTTCTCAGCATCCCTTGGTCAATGAGCGTGACGGATCCTGCTGAAGGCTCCACTTGCTCGCAGTTGCTGAAGAGATTGCATCCACCATTCTGAGGGTGGAACACAGCGGCATGGCATGACTTCGCTGGGCAGTTAGCTGCCTGTGCACTCTGGGAACACTTTGCTTCACACTCTGCCTCTGTCAGGCCTGTCCAACCCGTGCAGTGAGCCGAAGCATTCATCGTGTAGGGCGTTCCCATACACATCGTCTCCCGCATGATCGTGAAGAGGCGCCCGGTGCTCTTCTGCCGAACAAGGGATGTTGCCTCCACTGGAGGCGACTTGTGCCAAGAGGAGGTCTTGGCGGCACTGCCGCATTGGCAGATAGCCAAAAGGAGGCTGAAAGTCCTCCACATTGCTTCGTTGGATCACAGAGACAGGTTCTTCGTCAGCTGTGTCAGCTTACGTAAGGAAGAACCTCTTAAATTTAGTCTTGAGCCGTAGCCGCGTTCACCAGGGTTAAGCATTTGGGCCTTTCCTTTCAAGTCATGCAGCAAAGTCAGGCTTGAGGCAGGGCACCTGGGGTCGGGCAACTCCTCGGAAACATATTCCAGGTCCTCCTCGCCCGGAGCCGTGCTGTAAGGCATGGTTGGCCTGTCCTTCGCATAAAGCTCAAAGATGAGGCCGTCAAGCTTCTGCGAGGTGATGGAACACTGCGTGCAGCTAGGCATCATAGAAATACATCCACGGCAGATGGTCATGCCCAGCGTTTGCGGTGCCACCAGTTGGCATGAAGCCTGTCTTGGAAGATGTCACAACTGCTGAAGCATTTGGACACTTGCGAACAAGGTTCGGTAGACCCGCTTGGTACCACCCCTCAGGAGGTGCGTTCTGAAACGGATATCCTTGGGCTGTACACGTCTCACCGCTTTCTTTGGAAGTGCTCGGGCAAAGGCGGCAAAGCAAAGTGCATACTAGAAACTGCTAGACGATGCCGCACTATGAAAGGCATTTTCTGTCGATCGCCAAGCAGCTGCAAATTGATTTGCGATCACCTGATCGTTGTGACGATCGAAGAATTCCTCACATGTTAAATATTCCTATCTCACTTCATCATTCTTCTTTTCTCTCGTGTCGAGCATACGACGGCCCGTGCGTCCTAACTCCAAGCCCAGCTGCGTTAAAGACCTCGAACTTGGCAGCTGCATCGAAGTACTCCCCGGTTGCTGTGCCAAAGAGGCCAGGGTTCTCCTGAGCTGCTCAAACTTGTTGCAGTATTTGTTGAAGTTCTCATGGCCTCCTCCGCGCTTATAGCCAGGCGAAGTAGTCCATTTGCCTCTGGCACCGCACATGCAGTCGAATGCCCACCCTCTCCCTTCTTGCATCAAATCACGGCACTAGGAACCTCCATCCGCGTCACTTCTGCAGATGTAGCATCCAGTGGCAAGCGCGGCCCAAGACCAGGTGATAAATGGATCCTTGCAAGCAGAAACGCTGATGTCATGTTGAGACACAATCACCGACATCTTCCGCTGGGAGACCTTGAGTGCACCACCGGGACGTCGTCCGGCCTTTCCTGAAAGACATGGACAGTCGTTCTAAACACAGGTTCGTCTGCGAGTCAAGGGGTCAAGCCTGAATCGCAGCTGCGTACTCCTCGGCCCTGCGTGGATGCCACATATCCTCGGCTGCGCGAGGGTTGTAAGCGGGGAGCGACAACATATCAACATTCACCAAGGAGACGGAGAGCAGCCGAGGAACGTCATCGTCCGAAAAGAACACCCAAGGTTGATCTGATGGCAAGATGTGGCGCTTCAAGCTCTCCTGCAGCAATGCTGCTGACACTCTGCTTGATCGCTGAGCGACATTGGGTTTATCTTGCCATGCAACCATGACAGCTGATTTGCCCGGCATGTCCCGCAAGCGCGCATAGTGCTGGAACTGCGCCCGTCGACCCCTCAATCGAGGCATCGCGTGGATGACACCCCTGCGTGGCAACGTGGAGGGCATGCTTGGGTGCATGTGCTGCAGTTGGTGGAAATGTTAGCAGTGTGCCCCGAGCGCAATGTCTCTGGTTGAGCGGCCTGCTTTGGAAGTCATCAATAACTGCAGAGGCTCTTTCGGCCACGGCATCCCGTAAGGCTTTGTCAGCCTGGCAAAACACAGGATGCCATCGGGCACGGTCCAAAGTCCAAACCACCTCGAATGGAGGCACGCTAAGCGCAAGTAACGGCCCAGGCCTCCACATCCTCTGCCGACCAACTCACAAGCAGGGGTACCGGCATTGTCTGCTCCTCAACGGATCGGAGTAGTCCTAGGCTCGCTGGTGGACGTGGCAACATGTGGGCCTTGCTGGGCTTTACCAGGCCGAGCAGCTCCGCAACCGGTCAACACGGCTTACATCTGTCGACGCAAAGTGTGCGGCCAGCAAGCCTCTCTCAGGGAGAGCCGGGTATGCAGGCATGATGTGCATGACGTGCATGTCGCACGCTGCGATCATTGGGGTGCTATGGCAGGTGGGACAGTGCGCCTGCCTATCAAGCGTGGTCGCGCAACCATAGGTTAGTCATCATCCTTGCTGAGACTATACGTGTACATCCACAAGTCAGCAGCATTCCTGCGACCAAAGTGCCACAGCCATCGTTGCCATGAGCACAGCCCCAAGCTCTTCGTCCGAAAAGCTGCGTCATGCATGACAAGGCAAAAACAGGTTCAGGAACTTGAACCCTGTTTTGGATGGAGGCATGTCTTGGATTGTGCTGCGGTTACTTGGGCTCAGAAAACACACCTGCAAGTTGAAAGCTCGTCAGAAGGCACGCCGGCTGAGCTAAGCACTCCTCAGGGCTGAGAAATTGAGGCACTGCCACCATGCGAGGGTCCTCGTGGCAATGACGGCCAAGCATGTCGTGACAAATACAACTTTCCCGGATCTGCCTCGTGCACGACCAAACTCCGAAGTCCTGTGAACACACAAACCACGGAAGCACTTTCCCTGTCCTTTCACTGCTACTGCCCGAAGTACAGCACACACAAACGCTGGCACGACTGGATGTTGCGCAGTTTTCTCTGCTGCGGCCTGTCGGTGCCAGTGTCTTCGGATCGATGGGGGGCCTTGGCAGTCTTTGGAGTTTGGCACGATGCAAAATGGAAAACAACGGCTGTTCAAGAATCGTCCAAACAAGATCCCACACGCACATGCAACAAACATCTTGCAGCAGGTGAGTTGACAACTGACCAACGGCAAAACCTACGTGCTCATTTCTCCGCAGCTGCTCGCAATTTTTGCAGCTCATCCATGGAGACTTCCTTGCGCGGATGACGAATCGTTCAACGTGGACCCCATCGTTCGGCTCATCTGCGACTCTTTTGTACGCATAAAACTGAACATGGGCCTCAACATCGATCTCCTTGGAACCGAACACCATTTTCTGCAGCTCCTCAGGTGCCTGGGGGTCCACGGGATTGGAAAGCATTACAGTTCCGAACTGTTGTTTGGTAAGGGGCTAAGAAATGGGTGGTGCTCAGATCTGCTCTTTCATGTCAGAGTTAAATTACAAGTGATCCACACGCAGCCTACTTTGGTCGTTGCCTGAAAGCTCCGTGCATTTCTAGGCAAAGCACAGCAAAGGTGGTAGAGGTGAGAACGCCAACTCGAGAAGTTCTGCTGAGGCACATGGTTCAGAAACCAGCGGCCAATGAACTCCACAGAGCCGGGAGCTGAGGATGCTGAAGCTCCAGTTGAGCACCAGGCCGGTTGCACCGGTCCAGCAATATCCACAGCTGTAGCGGAGCTCACAGCCTCAAATGTCAAGCTTTCAGAATAGAGCAGGAGGCAAGTGAGGCTCAGAGCCTCGGCATCAGAAGCATGGCGTTTCAGCATCTCCGGCCACACAGCTGTAGCAGGCAGCAGCCTTGGATCAATCTTGAATCTACTTACGCAGCAGCTGCTTTCACGTAAGATTGGCGAGTGGAATCTCTTTATGCATCGTGAGGAACATATTTGGTCCTCAGCTGGCACACGTCCAGACAAGAATAAAATAGCTGCAAGCCACACGATACCAAACGCGCTCTTTCACCAAAGGCACCCAGTTGAGATGTCTCCGACGGAGCAGGCGAACCTGCAGAAGATTGAACTTCAGCAGGCTTTGTATCAGCCCTGATGATACACAAATAGCTTGTGACATGAAAGTCAGGTCCCTCTCGTTTGTTCTCCAAGAAGCGGAAGGGTCCTGGCTCACCCCAAAGGCCCAGCATCAGCGTCACGCGCGGCTCTGGCGACTCATCTCCCTGACGTTAGCCACCAATTCCACCTTAAAGTACTTCCTTGCTGCAACAAAATTACCTCAGGCCTCTGCAGCCAGATTTGGGATGACGCCATGCAGTAGGCCACCATCGAACAGCAGCACCTCTCGCCGATAAACCCTCTTGGGCTTGAAACATGTTGCTTGCGCAGCGGGCGGCAGCCGAGGCTCTCGATTCACCTTTGGTTCACAAAGCCAGGCTCTCTTCGCCCGGCTGCCAGGCTCCAGCGTCTGGTCTGTTACCTCAAATGCTGTGCGTCAATGGACTGGATATGACTGGCTTTGCAAAGAAACCGTGACTGGCTGCAGCTAGTTACTCGAAAAAAGCCTGCGATGCTTTTTGTTGCTTGGCGGCTCATGCCTTGCCCAATTTTGCTTGTGTCATCTTGAAACACAGTATTATCCTGATGCGAAGGATGCTCGGCGGGCTGCTTCCCACCAACTACTGACTTGTACACGACTTCAATCCAGAACCTGTTCATGGTCTCCCTGCACCAAGGGCAAAAAAAAACACTCTCTCACTTTGATTTGCGGCATGGTCATAATCCTGGTCCGAGTCCTAATTAATCATCAATGTCATCATCACCGTGGTGGCTTGCTCGTGTTGAGTTGGCTTGGTACCTGGCCCTGTCAAGTCCATGCTTCAAATAGCCCAGGTTATACTACCCAAAGCATCACAAGTTAGGGCACTCTACAAGCGAACTGCTCCCGCCCCAGCAGAACCATCACAGAACAGAAGCCGCCCTTCAGCAACAATGGAGTCGGCCGAGTGGCGATGGTTGTGGAAGCTGTGCTTGAGCTACCACCTTTGCTCGAATGCATGCAGACAAAATCATCCCCGTTTGGCTGCACCTCAGATCTGAGGAATCGACCGCTGAGGTAGACAACACAAGACACAAGCGGATGGTGCGGGAGGGAGCCCTCCTGCAGCATTTTTTGCTTATGCAGAACTCCTCATGTAGGCACAGCTGCCCGCTGGTGCCGGAATGAAAGCCCAAAACAGCTCTTGAGCTTTGCACTTGCCGCCTGCAGGCTGGGTAGGCTAAGCTCGTCCAGGTCATAATGCAGCCTCAAAGGTCAAGATTGAGAACAAGTTCGGCATGTGAGACAAAATTCCCATCCTAGCCAAGAACACAGGTTCAAGTTCTAAGAGGGGAGCTGGTGGCCACTGCCTGAACCTGAAGGTCGCGAATGAGCCCACCACTCCTGGGAACAGGTTGAATTGCACCGGGCGATGAATATCATCGCACTCATGATTGACATGCTGCAACTTGCGCTCATACACAGCAAGCTTCGACGGAGGACACCTTCTGGTCCCGGCCTGCGCGCGCTCAAGCACTGCGCTGCCCCTTGCATGAGCTGCTGCCTGGCCTGAAGAACCAAAGATTGATGGGAAACTGGTAATGGCCAGCTTTTCCACGAACGACGCTGCTGCGCGGATTAGTGGCACCCCTACCGCTGCGTCGGCCTACAGTCCAGGAGAAAATTATCCACGATGGTCACAAAGGCTGTGGACGCGAACTGCAGCCCGGCAACTGTCAAAGGCTCATTGTAAGAGAAGAAGGACGCAGTGGGATATTTATGCCTTCGCGCGTGTTTGCGCACGACATGTTTCAGCCCTACTTGCAGCTTGGCGACTCTGCAAGGTACACTCTGCCACGCATGCAGCGAAGCAAAAGCAGGTGAGGCTGCCAAAGACCAAACTCGTCAGCCAAGCATCTCCTTCCAAAACGTGGCTCCTGCTTTGAAGGCGTCCTTCCGTTTTTGCAAAAGGCCATGATCCACGCCCTCCCCACCTGTGCACTACTCCCTTTTGCTTCGTATCCTGGAGCAGGTGCAGCAGCTGGCTTGGAAGTGCATTGTCGAAGGCTGCTACATAGTTGGCTTTCCCTGGCGCACCACACAGCAGCACAAGAATAGAACCCTTGCAAAATCCAGCCTTGACATTTGGAGCCTGTGAGGCAGCTCCCATCCAGCACCGAAGGGTTGAGCCTGCACCAAGCAGCCCTACTTGTCCAAAGCCATCAGCCACTGCCCAGGCCCAGGCTTCTTGAATCAGTCCGAGCTGCTTCCAAGTTAGGCCCAGCTGCCTGAGCCAGCCATCTGCTTCCTGCGCACATCTTCTTGAGAAAGGCATGGAGCAACTCCATGACTTCAAAAACACATCATGCTACAACCGCACCTGCCGCTGTCATGTCATGGGTTCAAGGCTAGCTACTAGTAGTTGTGACACTCATCAATCGTGGCTGTTGATGCCACGGCTGCTTGAGCTCTTACGTTGGAGGACGTGGAGCCGCATCTGTGGTCCCCGGGCCTCGTGCCGCCCGAGTTGAGACAGCAGCAGGGCAAGCTCGTACTTGGCAACCTCCGATCCAAAACAATTGCCAGTAGCACGCGCTCGCTTAAGGAGCGGGCGACCTCAGCCTGCGGACCGCGGGCCCGCAAAGCAGACCGCAGTAACTCCAGCGCGTTGTCGCACCGGCCTGCCGCGCTCAAGGCCCAAGGAATTTGAATTGGCACAATGCCAAGGGGCAGCTTCCTGCATCTTTGGCAGCCTTGGCCTGGTCCTCAGCTGCGGTAAGGTCAGGTTCTCTTTCAGAGCTTACGCAAATCTCGGCCAACGGCAACAGCGCTTAGCCGCGTGGGCCCCCTTTGGACCGCCTTCTTTCCTTAGCAACATCTTGTAGCAGCGCGGGAACCCTTGTTTGGGGAGCTACCGCCAGGCTTACACAAGACCAGATTCGAATGCCCAGCTTCCCCATGTTAGAGATACATGGCACGGATTTCGCAAGGCGACGAGGCGAGGGGACTAGCGATGGATGTCAGTGTATGAGCAAGAGGTGGTCTGAGAATAGATTTGCAGCTAACCCAAGCTTGTCTGACCTTGGCCAGATGGCTTTTGCACAGACTGTGGACCAGTGAGAACGTGGCAATCATGAGTTGGGCATCGGCCTAGATGATGTTTCGGCGCTATCCTTTTGGCTGTTTTTTCTTGTCCATTGCCAAACGGCCTCTGCGGAGCATGTAGTGCTCAACTTAGTTGAGCTTCCATGCAAACAGGTGGCAAGAGCCAGTTCCTATGTACATTGCCGTGCCTGAACTCTCTGGGCACAGTCTGGCGCCAGATGATCAGTTGTAGAGCACGTGCTTCGAATGAACTTCTGCAAGACCAAGCCTTCGACACAGCCTTGAAGCCTCGCCTGACACTGGACTACCTGCTCGCAAATCGCCGCTCGTCACCGCCACCACCCCACCATCCGCAATGCCGCTGCAAAGAAAACAACTCTTGGCGTAGCGCAGGATCTCGTGGTTGTGGCCATGGAGTTGCTCCTTCGCCGCGGCCATGCCAAATCTAAATGAAGAAGATCGTCAGAATGACTCATGCGCTTCCTTGGCTCCCGACGCAAGCAAACACAAATGCACGGACAGCGCAACCATTGATGCAACAAGTGCATTCGCCATTCATTCAGGGAGTCTGCTGGAAGGGCCACTTGCCGGTAAAGACTGCTGACCTCCGCTAGTGGAAGCAGGGCTGTACCTTCAGGATCAAGCAGTCGAAAGGTGCCTTGGAGATGGCCAACGCCATGCGGTGCAACGTCTCCGGTTTGCTTGCCGCCTTGGTTAAGCGAGCTGACATCCGCCGTGGGGACTAGAAACTCATTCAAAATATCTCAAGATGAAGCAGTTCGTGGCGGGGACAAGGGATTGCAGAACAGCCGCTTCTTGTTGTTGGTCTTCTGTCACGTCAGAGATCGACTTCGAAGATCCGTGCCCCTGCGCGAAGTGCAGTTTTCTCCGCACTTCCCACAAACCAGGGCACCGGCGCTTGCCTTTCTGAAGGCTGGTCGTCCGGGATCCTCGTGCGAGCGCAAACGTAAGCCAAGATGTTGGCTCTAATGCTCTATTTCAAGCAAGTCCTGAGGCTGCAGGTCTGCCATAAAGCTTGCTGCAGGTGAGCTAGCGCCATCCTGCCAGCATGCTGCCACCATACTCTACAACCTGAATTCTGACTTCGCACCACATGAAAATATGTGCTAAGTTATGTGCAGGGAGTGGGCCTCTTCTCGCTTCGCCTTCTGTGGAGTCTTCTTGGGCCTGGCAAGATCTGCGCAGGCCCACCCTCCATCGGCGTCTGAGCTAAAGTCCAATCTCCAAGTATCCCCCTTGATATCCCCAATAGTAGTCCCCTATTAATCCCCTATATAACCCCTTTAAGGACTTCAGAATATGATACATCTGGCTTCTGAATTTCTGAACCCACCTTGGGCTCGGAGCCTTCTTTGGCTTCGCAGACTTCTCAGAGTTTTTAAACGGCCTTCCGCCCCCAAATAGATGCAGATACCAGAGTGAAGCAACAGGGTGACCCAGAAATTCTGAATTATACCACTGCCATTCCCGCTTCTAGTAATCAATTCCACTTCCGACTCTAGACTTTCAGTCGGATAGAGATGCTGCAAGCTTCGGCATGTGAAATTTGAGCCGCGGGGCGACAGCCGAGGCTCCTTGGACCGGGGGTAGGCGCCAGTGGAGCGGCTCGGCTTTTCCTTGCCATTCACCTGTCGGCCGAATCATTGCTGAGGCGAAGGCATGCCGGCAAATTATGGAAATCTTGCGAGGAGGACATCCAAACCTGAATCATGAATCCAACAGCACAAGACCGCCGACCTGCTGCGCCTCAACTACTGCTCCGTCGTCGTAGCCTCAGACGATCCGCCAAAGAAAGGGCAAAGAAGAAAGAGTACCCTTACTCTCAAAGCACAGATTTCCCCAATCAACTCACCCAGCGGCGCAGCTTCCAATGTGAAGGACCTTGACGCCAAGAATGCCAATCAGTCTTCCGTCCATTGAAATACCTCAGCCGTGTCATTATCGGTCATCTGAACCATCTGTGCTGACTAGGCGGGAATCCACAAGCGTAACAGCCGCCAAGTGACTGGCCCTCCTCAACAGCGCCATCAGCCCAGGTGTACGCACCAAATCCGTGCTTTCGATTCCCGGCATACTGGCCTTCAAATTTGTCACCGTTCGTGAAACGAACCTGGGCACCAGGGAGCTACATGTAGCTTCCATAGTGCTCTGCCTTCCACGGCTAATTACAGACCCTAGGTACAGCCCCATGTAGCCAAGCAACGAGTCCAGTTCCAGATGCATCCCCCCTGGCCCACTGTCCCTCGAAAATTCCGCCATCGAACACAAGCGTGCCCACTCCATGCCGCTTGCCTGCCAGCTGAGTTTGCTGGCCAGGAACTGCCAGGGCATTTAGGCTGACAGCCACTCAAAAGGCCTGACACCCACTGCCCGGCATAGGTGCTGCCATCCTTCTGATCCAAGACACCCCAGCCATCACGAAGGCCCGCCTCTGCTTAGGCGCTCTCTGAAAGAGGGGAGCCTATCTTAACGGATCTTGTAGGTGCGGGGCAGTATTTCGCAGGCCCCTGTATACGCTGCCAGCTTCGAAGCCAGCTGCCTGCCATCCATGAACCTCGCGCGAGCGCGGGTAAACGACCTTAGAATCTCAGAACTAATAACGGAAGAGCAAACAACCCTGTCAACATCTGCCAACACAACTGGTGTCCTTCCCAAACGAACCACATTCGGCCGCTCCAGCATTCAAACCATCCAGCACAGTGGGCACGGGAACTATCTCCAGCCAAAGAGCGCGAGACTGCGTCTGAGACTTTGGACTTTTCGGGCTTGTAGCGACTCTTCCCGGCCGTCCTTGGAAGCAGGCTGCACGCGCGAAAACTAAACAAAAAGTCATGCTACGTCTGTAGTCTCTTTCTGTGCAACTTCGCAGCTTGCGCAGCTTGTTGGGGAGGCGTCTCTGGATCCAGCATCCCCCGGAGCCATCTTATGGCTTGGAGAAGAAACGAAGTAGTCCGAGTACTTCTGGATGATCTGCAGAGCACAAGTTTTTATCGCAAAGCCTCTTCACGACCGGCTGTGCATGCACGGGCCTTGAGTGACGGGATTACTGGATCACTGGTGCCGAATGCTGGGGGTTTCTTTGGACTCGAGCTTCGTGGATGTTGCGGAGAATCCGCTCGGAGCCTTGGTTGAAGGACGTCTCACGGGCAAGGTGGTCTTCATTCGTTCTCAAGCAAGGGTTGCCTTCCCTCTCCAAGTTGGCAGCTACTCATGTTTGGGGACATTGGAATCTCATATAAAATCAAAAAGGCTCTCAGCACCATCCTAGAGACGCTGGAGGTGGACTGAAGTTGAAGGCCGACGCACCCGGCGACGAATCTTTTGCGTGCCGCTGCCTGGCTCACTTCATGAAGCAGGCCACATCCGGCCACTGGGATCAGTCAGACAAGGCAGTGGCTGCAATTCGCACGGCTGCGAGCTGGCCCGTTGTACGCGCAGCCTTGGCTGGCAGATGGATACACTGCGCCTGACTATTAACAAGAGAGATTCTCAGAAGAGCTGCACTCCGAACTCTAGGCCTTGGACTCCCAAAGTTCGGAGGGATTGCGAGACTCAGCTGGCCATCACACAGCAAAGAAGAGCTTTTCAGCTGGAGTCAAGCTAATGGAAGCTTGTGAGCCTCGCTACTTGCTACCGAGCTTTTTGACGAGTCGCAGGAACTGGCGGCATGACCTCTCCCTGCTGCAGAACCCCCAGTCGATGTGCAAAGTTCTCTCCAAGCGATGGGGCCTGCAAGGAGCACGCGCCAAGAAAAAGAGTTCGCTACATCTTCATGCGCGCTATAGGCTAAACTGCGAGCATTCCCCTTAGCAACCCCTTTTGATGCTCCCCTAAATAATCCCCATATATGACCCACCTTTGAGTTCAGACTATAGCTGATGTTGCTGAGCAGTCTGCCTTGCTCCAGTTCGCTGGACTGGCCCTACCACTGCAGTGGGTCACCTTCTGTGGCCTGTTCTGCGCAAATCATCCAAACCATTCAGCTGTTGCGACACGTTGCTACCTCTGGCCATGTTCAAGAGATATAAAGAGACCAACGGCAACAGCCCAAGTGCGGCCAACAGACGCGCAGTGCATGACCTGCGTGTCGTCATGTACTGCCCGGGCACGCGGTCGCACCCGGCCGTCGTCTCCCATCCTTCCACTTGAAACAGTTGAAACACCCTGCCCGAAGCGCCCGTCACAGCAGCCGCCATGGCCTTGCCATCTCCGCAATCCTGCGCTCCACTGGCTCAGACGGGAGAGGCCCGAAGCTTCGACCTCAAAATCTCCAAGATGCAGACAGCTTGCATCAGCTTGCAAAGGCTGCAAGGTGATGACGAGGGACTGCTGGAACTCGGTCCAAACATGCCTTGTTGCTCTTGCACTCGACGCTCCTGTCCAATGATCTCAAGAAATATTCAATTCAAACTTCTTGCTTACCAACCTCTGCTGCCGAACTCTGGAAATCCACCCACCAGGCCATGCCGGTGCCTCCGGGCCTTGCTTGGCGCTTATGGCTTATGAGAGATATCAAATGAGGCCACTGGAGGCTTCTCAGCACTTAAGAGATGAGCTGTGCTGGCGAGTCCTGCAAGGGTCGGTTGTGCAGACATGTGCAGATGCAAAGCAGGCCGCATTCCACGACAATGCTCCTGCAACAGACTTTCCTGCACCTCTTGCAGAGGCGGCTCAGCATGGCAAACTCCCAGTGTTAACGGGGACTGCAACAATTGCCTAGGGTGATGCTGCCAAACGGGTTTCAACGCAGTACAGCCTGGACAGCTTTCTGCTCAGGTCAGCGCTCTGCTTCCTCTGCGCTTGGCAGCTGCACTGGGGCTTGTGCCTTCGGGGGATGACGAGCCCGGCACTCTACTCAGAAAGGCTCCGTCGGAAGATGTCGGCCTGGATGCCGCGCAGTGCCTTGTTCGGCACGTAGTCTTGATGGCCGGGTATGCCTGGACAGCCGCGAGTGGCTCCAAGTATGTCGCGGGCTGGGTGTGTAAGCGGCATTGCGAAATTGAAGTCGATCCTTCTGTGGTCCCTGCTCCATGTAGGTGGCACCGCAGCTCCTCGTGCCGAGGCGATGCGGGGCGCGGCAAAGGTCACCTGCATACGCAGGCAATGTCTCCACTATCAAGACAACCGAACAAAGCACCTCCATAGAAGGTGCTTGCAACAGGACTTCACCCAGAGGGCCCGGAGGGCCCGGCTCCTGGCATCAGACTTCAGGCTGATCACTTCAAACCAGAATTCTCTTCGCCCGCCTTGCTCGCCTCCCTCTGCAAAGGCAGTCTGCCTGCACTCCTGGGCCAATTCTTGCAGCTGTCAAGCCTTGGGCGGCCATGCAACTTTGCCAGGAGCCTCTGCCGCGGTGGAAAGCCTTGCTTCGAGTCCATTGGGTCACCTGATGACATCCACAAGTGGCCTCTTACACGCTCTCCCATCACTAGCCTGGTCTGCGCTGACAGGCCCGAGTCGGGGATGGTGAACCAGCTGGAAGCCACTCAGGTCGAAACTGTTGGCCTCCGAAAAGTTGCTCAGGCGGAAGGATGTGGGGAGAAAACTCACCAAGTGCCTGCTCTCTCTCCTCGCATGTTTGGTGGGGAGGGAGGGTCGGGAAGCAGCAAGACAGGCGACAAGCTGGATGTTGCACCTTGACTCAGACAGGGCTTGTCGGCTTGTAGATGACGAACAAGCAAACTCACAACAGCCCGCCCTCGGGCTCTCGATTCGGGCTTCTCCTCCGTGGGCTCCGCGAACCGCAGGAAGCGCCGCGGGGCTGTGAGGCCCCACCTTGCTAGCTGCTAGCCCAACATGAGACGACTGGAGGTAGGGAGCTGGGGAATGCTGGGGAGCTGCAGGCCTCCGTGGCCACGTGGGCTTGTTGAAGCTGGCGAAAAACCACGCGATGCCGTTCGTGACCGTCCAGTGTCTGCAAGCTGGCGTAGCCAGCTACTAACAAGAAACTCTGCTCTCTAAACAAAGGCGCTCCAGCCTTCCTTCCTGGCGCGTGGACTCGGAGATTGAGAGGCAGGGCTGTGAGGCCTGGATGGCCTGGATGGCCTGGCCACCCTCTGACCACCTTGGACTGCAAAATTGGAAACAAGCAAACCCTGGAAAGGAGGGGCAAGATCTCCACCTTTGCGACTTGGCGCACGAGATTGCACAGCGGCCCCTGTCATAGGCAAGAGTCTTGCAGGCCTAGGGGTTTGAGATGTTCCAGAGCTGTTGCTCGCGGAGGTATGAACAATTTTCAATTCCAAGCTTGTACTGTCCAGGACTTGACACAATTTCTGGGACTAGAAGGTGCATGCAACATGACTGGCCTGCAAAGAAGACATGCATCAAAACCATCCTAAAACTGCACGATGCCTGCAGGAACTTGTGGCCGACCGTGCTGCGCAGAGGGCGACCGAGATGACGAGCCTCCTGTCCAAGAAGCACGAGCTCAGCCCTCAGCACTCAAGTCAAGCTCAGAATTGAAAGGGTCTACACGGGCTTGGCCTCGTGGCGGTGTCCGGTTTCTTGCCGGCACAGCCCATCCTTACGCGCAACGAGCAGAGTGCACACAAGACTCCATCCCTGGTTCCCACGCATGCCCTCATAATCCGTCATATAACTCATATGCAAGTGCCGGGGGAACGGGAGCGGGCTGCCAAGTTTCGTGGCAAACGTGGCGACTCGGAGCGGGCCACTCGCTCGCGGCTTGCTGCCTGCGCCGAAGACAAGCCGAAGACAAGGGCAGCACCGCGTGCCTTCCCATCACAGCTGCCGCGGTTTCCACATGATACGGCCTCTTCCACATGTCTTCCACGTGCACTCACGCTTCGGCTGTGCTGGACACCTTGCATCGCTTCGCTCAGGCATCCTCACTTGAAGGTTTTCGAGTCGGCGGTCCACTTTTGAAACCCTCCTCTAGCAATGACCTCAAGAAATGCAAGCCTCGAAACCAATACATTTGGTAACGTCGGACGTGATGGGCCCTTCTACGCTGCCTTTTTTGGGCTCCTGTCAAACAAAGCCAGCAAACCCAACCAGTGGCATTGATCCTGCGCTCACGAGAACAAGCTGAAGGCTGTGTGCGTATTGCTGCCGGTCAAAATGCGCGGTGTGTCGTCGCTACTGCTGTTTCCTGTTATGTGAAGAATGCCGGGTTTTTTGTGGCCCCTCCTAACAAAAAGCACCCAGCAGCAACTCCGATGCAAAAACTTTCTCCGGCACTCGAAAACTGGCCTCTTGACTTGAAGACTACCTGGTTCGAGATGCATACGCGCTGATGCGTCATGGATGTACAGAGAGCAAGGTTTGGAAACCTGGCAGAAACCTGTCGTTCTTTTCTACCCACTGACTTGCTCCAAGAATTTGATGGAGAGCTCTTTCGATGAGCTAGCAGAATCCGTCTAGGTCTCTCGCTTAGGTCGTCTCGCACTGGCCCACACCAGCAGGTTCAACTATGGCATGAACATGTGAACTTGCTGTGTGTGTGGGTTTAATGGCTTCAGGTTCAGGACAGTTGAGGCAAACGGCAAATCTGCGCTTTTGCTGTTTTGCTTGGTGCTTACTTGGAA